TTCATATAACTGTAATGTCGGTAATTCCGAACTGCCAGCATCGACTTAATGCCCATTTCCAATGAGATTAACTTTTATTAGATTAACTTTAATCCTTGATTTTATCTGTTTTTTTAATCTTTTTTCAATTCCAATAGAAAAATAGAAAAAGATGAAGAGTAGATTGGACGAGAGTAGATTGAGAAAGATTAAAGTTATTCTACATTGGTAAGAACAAGCATGAATAGAATACATTATTTAAATGGTAATGAAACGGCGGATTATGACTTTTAATCGAGATAAGTAATGTTAATAGTAAATAATAAAATTCTATATAGTGAACACCACTTAATAGTAATATTACATCAATATTACAATTTCCTGCTCAATAATATAATTGTTATGTTACAGTAGATATTAAATAGTCGACAGATAGTCAGTAGAATTTGTCATTTGCAAATGTTTAATGCCTATTTCCTCCAACGAGATTAACTTTTATTAGATTAACTTTAATTCTTGATTTCATTTGTTTTTTTATCTTTTCCCTTAGAACAAAAAAAAAGATGAAGAGTAGAATGAGAGAGATTAAAGTTAATCTAGATTGGTTAGAACAAGCATGAATAGAATACATTATTTAAATGATAATGAAACGGCGGATTATGATTTCTAATGGAGATAAATAATGCCAATAGTAAATAATAAAATTCTATATAGTGAACATCACTTAATAGTAACATTACATCAATATCACAATTTCCTACTCAATAATATAATTGTTATGTACAATATGTTGTATTACATTTATATCGTTGAGTAGGAAAATATATAAATGTAATATAGTAATGTTACTATAAGTTGGAGTTTACCAGGATTCCTTGTGTTTAAATTATAATTACATTATGTCGACAGTATCTGATGGCTACGTTTTGCCATTTTTTATAATTCACAGTTGTAATACAATGTCAAAAAGACATTGTGTGTTAACACATTAATATATTCTACACATTTATATTCATTGCTCTTAAATAGAACGTAAAATTATGTGTTTGTAATTCACTTGTCTTGTTTGTTTACAGGCAAGAAAAACGAGATAAAATAAAAGCGAGATTGGAAGAGGTTGAAGACGCACCTGAAATCTTGGAGGAAAAATGTATACGCTTGGCAGCAGCAATCAGTAGAGCTACGTCACTTGCAGTGTACACAGGTGCTGGTATTAGCACAGCGGCATCTATTCCAGATTACAGAGGAACTAATGGAGTTTGGACTCGTATGCAACAGGGAAAAGATATTGGGTAAAGAAGTCACTTTAATTGAAACTTGCAAATAACAATAATAATTCTTTTATTCTGTCTTACTCTTCATTATTGCATAAATTCGAAATTGTACAATAAAATTTATGTAAGATTTCACGTATGATGGTTACAATAATCTTTTCTTTTACATTTCAACTCATTTATTTTTATTAATTGACAAATTGGCTGTTTAATATAATAAATCTCATGAAAAATCTCACATACGCAATATTTTTATATTTATTTCTATTAATATAGAAATTAGTTACTTTATATCAATTGTACTGATTTACATTCATCAATAGCGTATTTTTATTATTATTTTGCGTCGTTTTGCATCGTACAAAAAACAATTTAAGATAGTTCATTCTTTGATATTCTACGAATACAGTGGTGATCACAGCATAATAGATATAACAGTAACCCTTGTCAATAGAGTTTAAACATAAGGAATATTATTTTTATACACAATCATAAGTTTTTAAATTTTGTAAAAATCTAATTTTTATGATTTTTGTAATTTTATTTATCAGTGTTCAAAATACATTCCATGAAATAATATAGTCATTATCGTACAATTTTACTAGATACATCTCTAATAAACTTCTTTTGAAATAGAAGAAATAACTTCTGTTGAAACCTTGCTTATTTAATGATTTTCGAAATTATATAAGTGTCCTTCCAATTTCATTTTCAACTCCGGGAAAAGAAATAATTACATGAAGCAGCATGAGTAGACAGTGGATGATTAAACACTAAAACAGATTTTTTGAGATCATGTACTCTTTGTTTCATTATTTTTTTCGACAAGTATCAAAAATGTACTCTCATTTTTGACGTTACAGTAAATAATGTAACAGAGAAACGCAATTCTATAGAATTAGAAATAAAGTTTCGTAGAAAACAATTCCATATTTCAATAAATAGCTTATATTTATATAGCCTGAAAAAAATTGGGAAACTTTTGATACAGATTGAGTATTTTTACAATATTATCCAAATATCTGATATGTTATTTATATTTGCAATAGGAATCATGATCTGAGCCAAGCTGAGCCAACCTTGACGCACATGGCTCTTTATGCATTGTATAAAGCTCGAGTCCTCAAGCATGTAGTTTCACAAAACTGTGATGGATTACACTTACGCAGTGGTATCCCGCGTAATCTTCTGTCCGAGGTACACGGCAATATGTATGTGGAAGTTTGTAGAACGTGCAAGCCGTCGAGAGAATATTGGAGACTTTTTGACGTTACTGAAAAGACTGCGCGATATCAACATGGCACGGGAAGATTATGCCACAGATGTGATTCTATGCTGCAAGACTCGATCGTCCATTTCGGCGAGAGAGGTAATCTGCCTTGGCCAATCAATTGGAACGGCGCATCTAGAGCTGCGAAGCAAGCGGATGTTATATTGTGTCTGGGTTCTAGTCTGAAAGTTCTCAAGAAGTATCCGTGGTTGTGGCAAATGGACAAGCCCGTTCAGAAAAGAGCGTCCCTGTACATTATCAACTTGCAGTGGACTCCGAAAGACGAGAATGCAGTTTTGAAGATAAATGGAAAGTGTGACGAAGTGATGAAGAAAGTCATGAGCCATTTGGGGCTGGAGATACCGCAATATAATCGTACAAAAGATCCAATCTTCTTTCATGCGGTAAAGCTTCAAAACGGCGAACAGCTTACCAAGACTCAACCGTGTCTCGAAGAACCGGCAGTTAAGGAACCTCTAAGCCAAAGCAGCGACGAGAATGTTAAATGCACGGTGCAAGAAACTGACAAAGAAGACTGCATAGCGTCCATAGCGGTGGCTGATATAACAACTGCCTATCCGGCACCTTTCTTCGCCGCGCTACCGTTTCTGTCTATGGGCTTGCCATTTCCTCCTATGTACATGTATCCTCAATTGACGCCATTGTTTTATTATCCTTTTATACAAATACCAAACATACCGACGGAAGCGCCAAAACCCAAACCCGCTTGTTCGTTTTGTATGGAGCACGAGGGCTCCCTCACCTGTTTGTATTATCAACGTGACGGAGACTGTTCAGCGCCGATAAAGGCCGAGAGTGAGCAAAAGCAAGAGGAAAGTGATTCACTAGTGATTCGCGCGGACACTCCCGTAGCATCTCCAAAGAATCCAGGCTGGTTTGGTAAAGGATACCGTAAGGGTATGAAGAGAAAGCGGTAGCATCCACTCCATGTATGCAATATGCTTGGCCGACTATTTACCGGGATTATACAATATAATCTTACATTATACAATATATTTACATACATAAGTATTTAAAGCCTCCATATCATAATGAAACTCGTGCATATTTTGTAGATTTATAGCAATTTGATTCCAGTATTCAAAGCTTTAACAAAAAATAGACTGAAATTTTGGAAGTATTTCCTAATAACGATGCAAAGGCAATCTATTATTTTTGCCTATTTCAAAGCAAATTTACTTTGTCAAACTTTACTATGGTCTGAACTTTCCTCCAAAATATAGGCAAACGGAATTCATATTTTAATTAAAAATAATTTTAAACACTAATCATTATTAATTAGGCAAATGGAGTGCACATTTTAATTAAAGATAGTTTTGAATAACACTCATTAATTTTATTTAAAAAATATCTTAATTTTATTACGAGATGTTTTTGTCTTTCAGTATGATTTATTTTTTTTCTTGTCTTAGTTATATGAGAAAGTAAAAAATATTTTGATAACTTGTACAAAAGATAAAAATATTCAAAATCGTAATTTTTTAAATAGATGTTCACCTCCTATCAAAAAGTTTGAGTTTATCAATAAATAGGTTAAATAATTTTTGCAAAAATATGAGGGCAAATCAATAAGTTTTTAGAAAAACATAAAATCGGAAGAGCACAC